CAAATTTAATCGATACTGCTGGTATTACCTCATATGTTATTTGAATAAAAACTCATCTTCACTGTACCGAAAAAAATAACAATAAAACATACTGATAATGAAAGATATTTCATTCTGGCAACGCCGAGGGTTTAAGGTTTCCCATCCGACCGACGCGTGCGGTTTAGAAATTTTCGCGTACAAAACTATTTGGAATAGCAGAACTCTCGTTCCGTCATACATTTTCAAAAGTTTTTGTGTGGTGTTTTCGATAGTGAAACCGTATCTCGGGCTCATAAATCCAAAATATAAAGTATCGATTTCGGGGTTTAACTTCTTGGGTTGGCTAAAATGATGTTTCAGCTAACGAAATATGTCCAAGACAGGTCCCGAAATTTTGCACCTGTTTGTATGATCAGTGGTAAAGTGTTAGTTGTGGCGGCGCTCTGAAAACTAAAAATGTAATGGTAAAGTTTAAGAGAACACCAAAAGCCGTAGGGCGATCGATTTGAGTTTTGTAAAATGGGGGTTTCTTCTACAAGTGTTTTCTATATAAGGTATAATTTTAACATTTTTAAACTGATTAGTATTTAATGAAATATTCAAGTGAATTTTTTAGTAAAACGTCGCGTTAAAACGTTAAAGAAACAGTCATAAGTCATTTTCTCCTTGTTTCACCAATAAAAAATTTGGGTTCATTTCAAGATAATTATATTCTAAACTCTAATAATACTAAATATTGAAACCGGCCGTGTCCGATCTTTTGTTTAAGGCGCGATTTTGTGCTATATAATATTGAAAGTTGTTCTGAAGATGATTTTTTTAAATTAATTTTTTCAACCAATTTCATGTAAGATACACGTAAACATGATTATATCGCTAGCTGAGAGTGAAAAGTTGCTAAGTCCACTTTTTATGAAAACTCATGTTTTGATATAGGAGGCTAGAGAAATTGAATACGCATCGTTTCGAAAATTATAAAGGTACTTGTTTTGTTTTTTCCTCTTCATAAGCAATAAAAGGAAAATTTGCTAAGTCCAAAAGAAGCACCACAAATCCGATAAGGCGAAAATAATACGACATCCTTTAATAAATATCGAATCCTTTTGATTCTTATGGTGTTTTGCTGTGCTTTAAACGCGCAAAATGTTTGATTCAAAGTCTTGCGAAATAGTTAAAGAAAATGGCTATAGGAAGATTTTTTCCTCTCCTGTAAAATTTTTAAAATGGGACTTAGCAACTTTTCTTTCTAAGCTAGCGATATTATAATTCAATAGCATTTTTATTAAAGAATTTTAAATAAAAACTTAAAAAACCTAATATAACTCAATGCTGCGTGAATTTAATAAATAAATATTCTTCAAATTAAACACATTTCTTTTAATTTCAGGCGCTATATTGGATCGACCATTTTGTTTTCAGTTACTTTGATTTCATATTCGAATTTATCGATCCCAATAACTCTAAAATAATATAATAATAAGCCATTCTTACTATTATTTTTAATATAAATTATTGGGTTTAAGTTTATTTATGTATGTCCGATCAGTTTGTATTTCGTGAAAATTTATTTTGTGATACGCTTGTCTGATCTATTTATTTAGTGTAAATAAAACGAGGTTATTTCACTTACGACCCAACGTTTCGCTAATCTTCTTAGCATCTTCAGGGGCGTGTTTATTTAGTTATCTGTTACAAAAAATATAAATACATGTATGATATTAAAAAAAGTAGCAAATACATATACATATATGTGTTTATATATAAATCACGATAGAACAACTAAGATATTAAACACAAAAGTACTCACAAAAAATATGTCATTAAATTACCTTTAACTACTAAAAGGTTTGTCTGAACTAAAAACTGAATTTGAATTATTTTTTGTTTACATTTTTGTTGTTGTCTTTTAGGCTTCAGTGACATGAGCAGAAGTTGGCTGCATTTTATTTATGTCAAATTCAGCATGCGAAGTTTGCTGCGATGAAGGCAGTGGCAGTGAATTTAGAATTTGGGCTAAACTGAGCAGTACTGCCAGCTGCCAGCTGCCACTGCTGTATTGTAAGTCACTTCATTGGACACCACACTTTCTAAAAAACAGCTGATTTTGAAATCTGCCACTGCCACTGCCACTGCGTTATTGTATTTTGGTCTTTACTTCACTTTATTTTGGTGTTTGCTAAATTTGCTGAGTGCCCAGTAATTTGCATGTGTTGTGACAGCGCTGTACCATTTTTTTGGTTTCTTTATATCTGCTTTATGTTCGTTTAAGCATTCTTCGTTCTCCTTTCTCTTACAATAAATTTCGTGAACTACTTTGCTTGGTTGTTGAGCATTTATTGGGCACTTTGTTTTTATCATAGTCAATGCATGTGCAATTAGATTCAGCTTCGAAATGCATATGATACTGTGGTATCGCTTTGTTGTGTTTATTGCATCTGCGCCTGAAGTTATATTTTGGTGATTGCTCGTTTGCATTATTGTTTGTTTTATTAAGTTGTGTGTTAAATTTTCAGGGTAGTCGTATTTATTTTTGAATGTTTGCCTCATGAAATTTTTTGTGGCTTATTGTTAAAAATTAAGAATTTATTTATGTGCAAGCAAAAATCACTCGCATGCCCCAGGGCGTATGAATGACAACAATACATATATATGCACATCGTCGTTTAAAGTACAAAGCCGCGTGGCAGCAAAATGAAAAACCGCGTATGTGAGGTTGCATAAATTATTTTCTAGAGAGCAAAAACACTCATATTTCAAAATGGCTCTCTTTTTTATAAAGCAATCGCATTCCTCACTAGTATATTCCAGGACGAATGGATGAGGATTGAGCAAAGAGCTTGAGTGAGCAAATCCAATTTTTGGCAACCAATGACAGTTACGCGGTTTTGCATTTTGTTGATATGCGGCTTTGTACTTTAGACCGATCTTGGTTGCGTGACCAAGGCATTATCAAAATACTCAGTTATTTAGTTAAATACATTTATTTATTTTTAATTTATTTACATATGTATATGTACTTACACATATGTTTTCTATGGTTCGTTCAAATAGTTTGTATTTATTATTTCAATTGCCCCCAATGGAATTTTTGAAGTGGGCTATTTTCGTGATAAGAATAGCCAGTTATTTAGTATAATAGTCTTATTCTGCAAAGGAGGTTCAATAATTACTCCGATTTCTTATGTGGCTACTTAAATTGTTCAATTGGATTTATTGTATTAATAGAAAATCTGTGTATGTATGTACATACTTATATACATATCGATGGTCCTCTGCAATAACGACACAATTTAAAATTCAAAAAACGAAAAGTCTTGCTACTGTTAAGTGGCTCATGTCTCTAATCCTCATCACTTACAGAGAAATCCTCATAATTACTTTAGTAAGGATTAGACAAGGGTTAGAGACATGAGCCACTTAACGGTAGTAAGGGATTTTTTTTTTAATTTTAAATAGTGTTGTCATTGCAGAAGACCACTGATATGCATATATATGTATTTATGGTCAAACACGTTTTACTTTTTTAATGTTTTGAAAAATTTGAAAATCGATGCCTCCTTCTATATACTTTTTCGAATATTTTGTCCTAGAAAAGTTAGAGAAAAATTATAAAGCGAATAAATTCTCGATACATTCAATGGATAGAAGCAAAAATACAACTTCCGTTTGAAATATGAGAGGCGGAGAAACTATCGTAAAACCACACACAAGGTCTGAAATCTACCACATATTCGCATTTTTGAGTAGTTTTATTTTTGCTCGACATAATTTTCTCAAGTTTAAGAGCAAAAATTGTCCAACACTAAACACTATCAACAGGCAGAATGGGATTATAAAATAAATTGTAAAATATTAAATTTTCTCAATACTCAATTTTTCGACAGGAAACGTGGTTTTATTGTATTAAATTGCAAAATATGCGATTTATAAAAATAATTAAAAGCGAAAATGTTAAAAAACGGCGATTTTTGTGAAAGTATTGGCAAATTTCAGTGCATCTAAAGTTTCTAAAGCGTTGTTGCCTTTTACTTGTGAATTGTCAAAATCGGCAAATCCCAAGTAGCGGTTTCTGGCACGTACCACATTTGTTCGCTACATCGTGATGTGATAAAAAGAAAAACTGGCAGCACTCCGCAAGGTTGCAGAAATCTTTCAAAATATGTTCGAAAAATATCATGATATGGGAGGAATTGCTTTGCACTTGTACAAAGTTTGATCCAAAACCTGAGATCTACCACATTTTTTTCCAGGTTCTACCACACAAATATTTTTTCAAGTCCGATCACTGCTCGTACACTGAAAATAAAATTTCGTAAAAGTGATACGAAAAACTTTCGTAGTCTTGGGTTTTGTACAATGTACGAAAGTTTCGTTCATAATACGAACACATTTTTCACAACGAAACAAGATTTTACGAACCATTCGTAAATATAACGAAAGGACTTTCGTAAAGACTTTTTTCAGTACAATTTACGAAATCTTACGTTTATTTTACGTAAATTACTGAACAAATCTCTGTACGAATAATTTTGTATATTGTACGTAATATTTACATATGGTTTTAAAATTTACGAAATCTACAATTCTGTATTCGTAAAATTTACTTAATACTTTCGTACATAGAACAAATGCGGAAACATTTTTTTTTAATTCGTACAACAAACGAATATTGTCGTACAATATACTAAATTACCGTCAGTTTCATCATATTTTTATGTACCGCGTGCCATTGCGAAATTACTGGTTGGCTACTGTGAGACGTATAATATAATTTTAAAAGTTTTAAGAAGTTTTTGCCGGATAAAAATACAATATAAAATTAAATGTTAAAGCTGTGGATAAATGCTTTTAAGCACACAATGTTTTTAACATCGCCCACGCTAAGCCTTGCTTCTGCAATGTGGAACTTTATAAATAGGCAATTTCATCAGTTAACTATCAACGGCAAGCCCAAACCAGGAACAGACGCATTACTTAATGAAATTTTAAGTAAGTACATGCATGATTTTTCCCTGAAACTTTCTTTTTCACGCCTTATAATTTATAGTCGAGAAAGGAAACAAACATCGTAGAAGCTGCGAATCTGCCAAGTACCTCCACATAAACACATTGCAAAACGTTTTGTTAAAGAAAAATGCTTAAAATTAAGAATAAAAACAAAAATAAAAGTGTTGTGCTTTAATTCGTTTTATGCTTTTTACAGTGTGGTGAATGTAAGCAATCGGAAGTTCTAGGAAACAACCGCAGATTTTAGGAAAATAATTTCGTTAAATATACGAATTATTTTCGTGCATTTTACAAAAATTTCGTAAAAAAATAAAGAAATAGTATGAAATTCTTTAGTAAATAGTACGAAATTCATTCGTAAATAGTACGAATACGTTCGTAAAATGTACTAAGATCTGATGTCTCATATTTTCGTAGTATGTACGAAAACGGTTTTGTACAAACAACGAAAACTTTCGTGGCTCAAAATGACGAAAACTTCCGTAAAATGTACGCAAGTTTTCGTTATATTTACGCAGATTTTACTTTCAGTGTAACATCCTTTAATATACGTTTCTTGGTCGGGTGGTGCAAGTTTGAGTTAGCTAAAAAATTTCATTGATTTTTGAAAGCTTTCTTCGTTGACTTTGTTAAGCGCTTTCTTCCATAAAAAGTGTGTATGTTCCAAATTTTTTGTATCGGAGATAATGAGCAACACCGCTAATAAAAGAAATTCGAATTCCAGAAATTCCAATTTAAAAGTCTGAAATTTTGATTACAATTTTTGGAACTGCGTCGAATTTTTATAAATATTGTACTAAGTGTAAAACTTTAAGTTATATGGTTTTCGTTAAAGCATATTTTCTTAAAAAAAAAAGATGTATTAAACCTAGTTTCTAGTGATCGGGCGTACATATGTCCTTCCATAGATCCGGTATTACATATATATTTATCTACATACATACATACATACCTACCTCACAATAACTTAATATTTATTTTTAATGCTTCGCAATAGTTAGAATCTAATAATAATTTAAATACATACATATACATATGTAGTAATTATGTGTAAATAAAATATATGTACATATAAAACTGCTAATTTGAAATACTGTCAACAACAAATAAATACATAAGTAGTAACAAAATTGTATTCATACTAATAGTATCGTCTTCTTTCCATATTTTTGAAGCTGATGCCCAAAACGCAGGCGACAATAATTGTTGCGCCCTAAAATGTATTAAAAAACATATATTGTGATGTAATACATATGCACGTACATGCGGGATTAAAAAAAGCGTAGAATTATTTAATTTTTTTTTTTTTTTTATAGATATCCAAAAACTCACCTCCACTCCCACCAATGTCCAATCACTGATCACTTCAATGCGCGAACCCATTTCAAAGGCTTGTGTTAACTTGGCAACACAACCGGAAGTATAGAGATCATTTGCAATAGACGACTTGCGGTTAAGATAACAGCTTGGCGGTATGCTGAGACCACTGTCGATGTAATCATTGGGTCCATTCATACCACAGCAATCGTACTGAAAAGGAAACAAAAAGTAATTTTTAAACAAAACACTTGATCCAATGTTCGGAACTAAGTTTATATGGGACCACTCTTGAGGTACCACCTTTCCGATAAAAAAAGAATTATCGAAAAGGGTTCACGCTGTCAAAAGTTACAACACTGTGTTTTATAAGAATTCAAAGAAGATTATTTACTATCTAAATAAATAAATACTTGGCGCTTACACATTAGGCCAGCTTCTCCTGCGATTTGTCAGAGAAAGAGGAGTAACCTACAGTTTTACGCCGCCTCCTAATGGTAAATGGTTTTAATCAGAAACTGTTTTTCATAGCAGATATTGGCTATGGGTGATCGCGCAATTTTTTTTGCGCTAGCTCAACAACGCCAACGCCATCTGTGGTGTCAGCGCACTAACCCAGCGCAATAGCGCAGTGTACTGATTTGAACACGGCGCCATCTGAGTGTCACCACAGTACCCATCGTCATACAGTGCAGTACACCATGCACCATACAGTGGTGTCATGTCTATTATTTCTATAATTTTCGGCGCTCAGCAACGCTTTTACCGCCAACTGAATTTAATTGCTAGGAATATAGTAAATGCCACGATATTCTATCATTTTTGAGTAAAAGAGTTAAGGCGAATTGTGTGTGTGCCTCATATGTTGCTTGGTGTTAATGGCGCTGGCGCTTTCCATATACTGGAGTTGGCGCGGCAACTCGGGCTATGGTGTAAACGCAATTGCGCCGCGCAGCGCAATGTTATCCATGCCTAGCAGATATAAACACAGAGTTTTGCCATTGCCTGCCGGGGGGCGGCCGCTGTTAGAAACAACTTTTTGTAAGGTCCCACGCAAAACAATTATTTAAATATTAATAAAATTAGCAGTTAAAATAATGCTCAATTCAACAGAAATATACATATATTTATAAAATAGAAAATTTGCGCCCGATTTTGCTAAAGAAATTAAATTTCATTATTTTTAGTAAATTAATAGCAATAGATTGGCGCTTACACATACATATGTATGTTAGTGCTTGGCCAAGCTTCTCCTACGATTTGTGGCGTGCGCATTGATGTTGTCACACATAGGGGAGGAACTTATGGTCTGATTATGCATACTCCGCATAACTTCGCATAAACTTCAAACTGTAATTTCGTATGTACTTTGTATGTATTTTGTATGTATTCCGNCAAAAACTTAACGATCTGTTGAGTTTAGATTTTGCTTCACATCTTCTTAAGTTACATTTTTATTGCACTGGTACAAATGGTTGTGCGAAGTTATGCGAACTATGCATAATCAGACCTTTACAGTTTTACGCCGACTCAACATTGATATAATCTGTTTTATCCTAAGCTTCGCTTGAAAAGCTCAAAGCTTCCATTCAGAGTTCGATAAACAAATCCAGTTTGTGCGATATTCGAAAATTCAAGATTAAAAAAAAAAAACACCCATAGATATCCGAAAAAAACGGTTGTCCTGTCCCTGTCTTTTTTACTTAAGTCCTCATAACTTCTACAACTATTATTCAATTTAGATAAGCAGGGTATTTTTCTTTTTATAAAAAAAAGCTTCGACGTCTAAGAAAGAAAGCGATAGGAGATAAAAACATTTCTTCATGTTGAATTTTGCTAGGAAAATAATAAGTTTTTGGGTATTTTGTTAAAATTTATGCAAAATTATCGATAAACAATGAATAGCTCCGAAACTACTAATCAAGTTGGAAAATGTTGATAAAATATATGATGGCAGATTTATTAGGTTTCACTAATTTTCTATATCGGCCAACTGTCTCCACTAATATTTCAATTAGGTAAGGTAACTTTTTTCCATCCCAAAAAAACATTAACTGTTCTACTTCTTGTTTTTTTGACTTCATATTCTGATTCAGAAAAGAATTTCAAATATGAAATGATGGTCAAATGTTACAGGTCGGCTTTCTTGTTGACTAGTGAAATAAGAAGAAATTTCTTTCCACTTACCCTAATTTGATAATTATCCATGCTATCATCACTCAACTGGCGATTCCAAGCGTTCTTTATTGTTTCCTCGGCTAATTTGTGGAAGTTTATCGGCAGCAAAAAGATAACAGCAATTTGAGCGCCCAGCAGAAGCAGCAAGAATATGGCATACTGAAAAAATTAGGTATACATTTTAAATATAATATTTGCTTACAAAACTTAAAAAGGATCTACTTACGATCAAAATAGTGCGTGGCGACTCGCGTATTGTGCCGCAGCAACCCACTATTGTGGTGATGAAGAGCAAACCGCCCAAAACGACGCCCAGTATGCAGGGCAGCTTAATTGATTCGCTGGCATTGAATTGGACTAAGGAGTATGCGCTAGCTGAAAGCATAAACGCGCCTGCTATCTGTAAATAGTATGAGCATATGTACATACATAGATAAAAATGCAAGTATCCACTTACATGGAAACGTTAAAAGTGTACAATTTTTTTGGTAAGCAGAATTGATTAATTGTTTTATAAATAAATATTATTTAGATATAAAATTACAAATTACACATACATATGTACATCCATTATCATCAAAGATTAAATGGAATACAGCTTGATTTATGGAATATTACTCACACAGCAAAGTATATTCATTAAAAAGGCTAAAAATTTCAGGGTAGACGTCGCACAAGACATTTTGTCGATATTTTACAGTAAAAGTGCTTTCCACGCAGGATATTGCGTAATTAATTAGGTCAACTTGTTTCTTAATTATAAAAATATTTTAGTTTTAGTGCTCTTATTTATAATACAACGCTAGTTTGAGGCACCACGTACACCTGCCTCCCTACTCACACCTCAGTGGATACACTTATTTGGTTGCGACCGTTTTGCACTATAGTAACTAACTGACTAAATAGCATTGAAATCAAAAAGATAGCAGCGCTGTTATTACAAATAAATATAGTACATTCACACATACGCAGCGCGTACTTATTTATCTTTATCATTGCTGTCATTTGTTTAAATAATAGCGCTTTTCGAAAGCTTAAGTACAAATTTGCTCGTGCGTTATCAATAGCGTCGCTGATAAGACGAGTAACACAAAATCTAAGGAACAACAACAACTCCAAGTGATTGAGAAAAACTTACAATTCGAATTGATTTTTGATTTGTTGCAAAAGGCATACATGAAGAGAGAATTGTCGCATTGTGAGTAAGCTAAAGCACAAAAGTAAGTGCCAAACGAAAATAAACCAAATATTTTTTACCTTTATCGCACTCTGAGAACTAAAATAAAAAATAATTTGTCAGTTGACTGCATCTCTGGATATGAATAGCGCAAGTGTTTGCGAATAAACTACACAACCAAATACAGTGGCGCTCGCGTAAATAGCGCAAATTTATATTTTTAACCAATTTTTTTGGTATTTTTTTTTATAAATATAGTTGATTCTTTAACATAACTCATATATGGGTATTTCCATCGGAAGGTCCACCACGACAAAAAAAATAAAAATCGTATATCTAACGTATTTACGCTACGTCACGTGACGTTTCACACTTGGGGTTGTAAAAGAAAATTGAAACAAGTTGCATTAATTCAAAAAACTCTAAAAACAACTAGAATTGCTCCAAATCATATTAAAATAAGTTTCATGAAAACAGCCATCCACAATTCGCAGAGTTTTGCGATTTTGTAAGAAAATAAAAAATCGACTTCTATTTTTTGTCACGTAACGACACATGCTTATATTTCAGGACCAAGCAGTTCGATTGTTTTAATTTTTCGGTTAAATATAGAGCTAATAATGTGCTATATAATGGCCGAAAAAAGTTAAAGAAAACAAATGGTATTCCTTGTGTGTATCACATTGAAACGTACGACTGTCACGTATGCGACGTATGGAAATACCCATATGTATGTCAAAGTTTAAAACTTTATGCAAAAGTCAGGAAAACTTAACCAATTTCATCATAATTTTCAACTTTTTATTTAGAATTTTTATAAACTTATTGGGTATGCAGTTTTCTACACAGAGAAATTTTCGTTTTCAAATTTGTATGGAACGTTTTACTTTTAAAAACGTTTTGACCCAGGTTTTGCACGTGAGTCAGAATTTCTGAAACGGGCCACTTGAATTATGTGATATTTTATTTCTAATCAGTAGTGGTATTTTTTGATAGCCATTGGCAATCACTGGCGACTTCCAAAAAAGGAGGAGGTTATCAGTTCGTCTTTTTTTTTTTTTTTTTTTTTTTTTTTTTTTTTTTTTTTTTTTTTTGATGTATGTTACCGCATAACTTTGGACCACGTCAACCGATTTCGATAATTCTTTTTGCATCGGAAAGGTAGTGTCTCAGAGGTGGTCCCATACTAATCTGGTTGAGATCCGATCAGTGGATCATGAGATATATATATATATATTTTTTTTTTATATGGGAGTTGAAGTCGGTTTTTTTTTGCTAAAAATTACTTGTCATATATATCGACAAGTGTTTTTTTTTTGTCCTCTTTCCTTGAAAATTCAATAAGAGACGAACTAATTGACCGATTTTGACAATTCAACCGTCATTTTCATTGCTATTAAAAACTCTTCAAGAAAATGGGTTTTATTTATTTAAAAATAATTTTTAGGGGTAATTTTTTATAAAATTGTTGGTAAAAATACAAAAATAACAGTCTTCTCCACCACTTATTCACACAGAAAAAAAAACCACTTATGCAAAATTTTACTCTCTAAAATATTCTGTTGACAAAAAGAATGGATCGCAACGTGGAAAACCGTTATTTTTAGTTGAAGGCTGACGCGCAATGCATCTGAAGATTGAAGTAACTTATTTATCTGAACACAATTTTTCCGACAAATGATGCAAACATATGAAAGTTTTTCATTATAGCTAGGTAGCTTTTTAAATGCTAATGCAAAACATTTTTGTTTTAAATATTTTTCATACCTTATTGACTGAAAATAAATTAACGTTTTTATTTTAAAAATGTCTAGTTTTATTTTACTTGTTGAAAATTGTGTCGCACTACAATTTGTTGGGACAATATTCTAAAATGTTTAATTTTAGTTTTTAAAATACGCATTTTTGACGCTATTTCTTTAATGTCGTTTGTTCTCCTCAGTAAAAAAAAAGTGAATATGTTATAACGATCGTTTTTGTTTTGCGAATGTTTCGTTTTAAAGTCGTAAGTACAAATACTGTATTTTTTTTATTTTGTATGAAGTAAAATTATGTATATCAAAAAATTTTATTTTACTATTTCTTTTGAAAACTTACGTTTTACCTGTATCATTTTCTCTGTGTAGCCTATTAAATTTTAGTGTTATAATGTGTAGGTTTGAAATTTCTGAAAAATATCATTGATTTTTGACATTTTTTTTTGTAAAGGATGTTGCGAATTTTCTCGAGAAAGTATCCTCGACAAAAAACATTCCATACAAAAATTGAATAGGAAGCAAAATGGCATACCCAATAAGTGTCTAAAAATTCTGAAAAAAGTTGAAAACTTTGATTAAATTTTTTTGAAATTTGTTAAATTTTTTTGAATAGGCACAAAGTGTTAAACTTTGACTTATATGTATGTATGGTTTATGTTTATATTGTTATGTTGTTATTGTTAACCGACAGTTCGTCGGAATATTTTTTGTTTTATAAGTATGTTATCGCATAACTTTGGACCACGTCAACCGATTTCGATAATTCTTTTTGCACCGGAAAGGTAGTATCTCAGATGTGGTCCCATAATAATCTGGTTTAGATCCGATCACTGGTTAATGATATGTATATATATTTATATTTTTTTATATAATTGAAGTCATTTTTTGCTAAAAATTACTTGTTATAAAAAATTTACCAACGCAAGTAAAAAAGTTGAAGTTCGCCATTAAACACCCGGCGCCCGTATCAAAGCTAGTTTTTTCACCTTTGCGAAAACTACCGTTACATGGTAAGCAGGGATGGTTTAACCAAAATTTCAAACACCTTCGGTAGTATATTCAGTTAGACTTATTAAGACCAATTTATATAGTTATAAGTACCACGCCCATTTACTTGTGTGAGCATTAACTTTAAGCAAACTAGTGTTATTAGATTTCGAATCGAAGTTTCCGTATTTCTGAAATTTACCTTTATATGAAAAGTGGGTAAAATTTTAGTCAGATTTCAAATCTTTCAACGTTTTGCTTTTATGTGGCAAGTACAATAATTATACCGAGTTTGGTACAAATTGATTGAACGGTATGTGGTCATAAGTAGGCGGTGCGATGCCTGTTTTCCAAAACTTCGTTATAATCGTATTCTTTTTTGCTAAGGAGTAATTGAAAACATAAATTTTGAATAAATTAGCTTCAGTATTTTCTGATTTCCCGAAGATTTCCTAAATTACCGTTATAAGGGATGTGGGCGTAGTCATTGCCCGAACACTTATTAATGCAACGAATTCGTCTGTTGGACGTGATTTAAATGTAAAATCTGTTGAATTAACCTGTAAAATCGTTCACTTTACAGCATTTATTTCATGAGTGTATCATTTAGAGTTTTCACATAAACGCGGGTTACTGATCCATATTTTGAGATAAAATTAATTCTCCTATTTTGGGTAAATCACCAGAACAAAAGGTGCTACATTTCGAATGCATTCTGTGAAAATAACGAACTATTTTAAACTGAAAACTTCTGCCCTCCGGCTGCCGAATTTGTACAAGTAATGCCTATTGGAAAAAGGAGGTTACAAATCGAAGGAGGTAATTGCTCATATTAAGTACAAGCAATCGAAAGCAAAAAGTAAGAAATAAACTTTGCTGGTCACCCCATGTTAACGTTCTTTGAATTTACCTGAGCTCTTAACTGCACTTAAGCTCTTGGTGGAAATGGGCTATAAGTTACCCAGTCTCACAGTATGATGGAATAGAAAAAATATTATTGGAATTTTACTAGCATGTATGCATACTAACGATTACGCGTAGTTTGATTAAGGTCCAAAAATGGTCGCTTCTCTAAGTTTTGAAAAATTTTGACCACCATTGTTTTCAAGATGCCGGTAATTTCACAACCCTCTGCATCCCGAAAATCAAGGTTTAAATTCCCTGCGACTGAAGTTACATATTTACATTCTTGCAGGTTCCGCTTAGTGATGTGTAAAATTTTTGTCGCCGTAAACTAAGCGATAACGAGAATTATGAACTCTTTGAAATTTGAAATTTCAATTATCATGTGTTAAAATGTGTCGAAGGTAATTTTCTCCAGTTCAAATTTAAATGCCATGCTAATAATTAAATTAATATTTGTGATAATAATCTAAACCGATAACTTAATCAAGCAGATATTCAAATAAATTTAAGAGCTCTGTTATATGAACGCCCCATACTCTATTTTCATTTACCCTTGCGACAGAGTTGCATTGGCTTAAGTTTATCAAGATTGTTCAGAAAATCGTTGCAAGAAATGTTTAAACTACTTTCCATAAAATTTTAACAGTTGGTTTACAAAGTTTACACAATTATACGTTTATACGGTTTATAAAGCAATTTTAAGGTTCGATGCATGCCCCTATTATATTTCTTTACAGACATTCAATGTACCTACGGAGCATAGTCCAACGCCATTCATAGATGCTCTTGAAGTTTGCAATCAGTCTCTCAGATTCTTGCAACACTTCCTGTGACATTTGCCTCCAGCGAACGCTCTTTCCTAAGCTTAAATCATATTTTCAAAGTAAAACTGGGTTACGAATGAAGAAATATTGAATAAAATTTTTTTTGTTGGACCACCGAAGCGCATATTTGGTGCAACTGATTAAATAAAAAAAAAAAAAAATTTTTAATCGATTTCTCATTTTATTCTGAGCATTTATGTATATATCTATATCTATCTCGCTT